ATTGCTCGAGGAACACAGGCGCGTCGTTCTCTTCGATGAGCATGTACGAGGCGCCACGAAGCGTCGCCGACGTCGACGCAGCTAGCGCCATGAGGCAGAGTACGGTACTTGTCTTCATGGTAATATTGCCGAGGCAATTGGGAAATGGTTTGAGGAGCGTGCGGTTCCGCGACGCCTCTTGGAGATATCTGTAGAAAGTCCGGCGAGGTGTGGCACCACTTGTTCCATCGATTGAAACGGACACGACGCCTTGAAGATGAGTGAGTGCACGTTTAATGCTCTTGGTTTACCACGGTCCTACGTGCGCATGGGCACGGGCCTGCGCTGGCTGTCGGCGAGCCACGCCGCGAGACGGCTCGCGCTCAAGGCGCAGCAGCTGCTGGATTTTAGGGCAACGGCTTCGTGAGCGGCCATTGCACTTGCAGGGACAAAGCACTCTTTTGTCGCCTGTTCGTAGAGCTTGACCAATCAGAGACAAGCGTATCTAAAAGATATAATTTTACCCTTGTCAGAGGGACCGGTCGTACCTCACGTTCCGCGGGCTTGTCGGGAATGCGCAAAACCCGCGTGGCAGGTACCTCTCGACGCCACCTCTCTCTCAGCGCTCACAACCTCACCATAGCTCACAAACGACAACTAACCGTCGTCAGGCGCGGGCAACTGCGGCTGCAATTAACGTGGTCCATCGCGACGACGACGGTACCCAGGGTCGTACCTCATGTTCCGGGTTGCTGAGGTACCGGGCAGCTACTATCGCACGAATGCATGCTCGGCACTTGGCTCGTCGCGCTGAGGTGCCATCTCTTGACGCGTCGCTGGCCGCTCTCCGCGATGACCCTTGGTATGCACACTACCTGGTCCCTTGCACAATCTTAAATCGCGACCACTAACGCTGCTCCTCTCTTGACGCATTGGCCACGCCTCACGAGCGCATCAGAAAGTCCACCTACAGTATAACTGCATGTCATAACTCATTTCAGCAACCAGAAAAGGTTGCATCTGGACGATGGCGAGTCGACTGGGTGACGATGCACGTGGCGAGGCCCATCTCGCTAGACTCGCAAACTTGAGAACGAGCCTTCTCCGGCAGTCAAATGAGAGTTCAAATTCACCGTGTCGACGTCCCGGATACAGCTGGCTTCACGGCACAATACAGCTAGTTACACTTATAGCTTTCGAGCTACCATAATCTTACACAAAATGAGCAGGCGGCGCTTAGCTCAGACATGTCTCCTTTGTGAGAGATACGCGTGCCATTAAGCTCACGAGCAACATTTATTTTTTGTGTCACATACCATGCAGCAACTATGTGCTTAGTTGTCAAGGTTCTCCCATGCATTCGGGAGGATATAGTCTAGATCTTCGTCGTTGCCGGTGTTGATCTCCTCGTCGTTGATATCGTCGTCGTCTTCGGGCACGGAGCGCAAAAAGAACGTCTTCACACCCGAGTTTTTGTTGAACGCGCCGCCCGACGACGGCGTCAACAAGTGCGTCGGCCGCCGTTTCTCAGTGTCCAGGCCGCTCGTGTTGTCATCACCATCGTCGTCGTGCTGTGGCACTCGATCCGCAAGGAAAACGCTTTCCGTGTCCTCGGTTTCGTCCGAGAGAAGGTTGAAGAAAGCCGACTTTTGGTACGATGGCTCTTGGTACATCGACGGCTCCTGGTACATCGACGGCTTTTGGTACGACGGTGACGGCTCTTGATACGGCGACGGCGGCTTCGTGTACGACGGCTGCGTGTACGTCGCCGGTTTCTGATACGATGGCGACGGCTGTTGGTAGGTCGCCGGCTTCGAGTACGTCACCGGTTTCTGGTACGACGGTGACGGCTCTTGGTACGACGACGGCTTCGAGTACGTCGCCGGCTTTGAGTACGTCGCTGGCTTCTGGTAGGTAGCCGGCTTCTGGTACGACGCCGGTTTCTGGTACGACGGCGACGGCTCTCGGTAGGTCGCCGGCTTCGTGTACGTCGTCGGCTTCTGGTACGATGGCGACGGCTTTTGGTAGATCGCCGGCTTCGACTTCGCGCATGGCTTGGTCGGTGGCTTGCTGTATGACGCCGCAGGCTTTTTGTATGGCTGCTTGTACGTCGCATCGTAAGCTTCGATCTCGTCGTATTGCTCGAGGAACACGGGCGCGTCGTTCTCGTCATATTGCTCGAGGAAAACGGGCGCGTCGTTCTCTTCATATTGCTCGAGGAACACAGGCGCGTCGTTCTCTTCGATGAGCATGTACGAGGCGCCACGAAGCGTCGCCGACGTCGACGCAGCTAGCGCCATGAGGCAGAGTACGGTACTTGTCTTCATGGTAATATTGCCGAGGCAATTGGGAAATGGTTTGAGGAGCGTGCGGTTCCGCGACGCCTCTTGGAGATATCTGTAGAAAGTCCGGCGAGGTGTGGCACCACTTGTTCCATCGATTGAAACGGACACGACGCCTTGAAGATGAGTGAGTGCACGTTTAATGCTCTTGGTTTACCACGGTCCTACGTGCGCATGGGCACGGGCCTGCGCTGGCTGTCGGCGAG